ACTAAGGCGAAATAACTAATCGATGTAAACATTTATAGATCTATGCATTCATATTAAATGTTTAAATGGGAGATAACTCCTAAATTGTCAATTCAGTGTTTATTACTTACTAACGTGTTGGATTTGTAAGTGATTAAAATAATAATAATAAAACTCAATATAATGAAATGATGAATACATTTAATGAATTCTACTACATAGAATTATGTTTGTGTTTCCTTTTTTTTAAAAAATTATTTTAGATAATTATTATTGGCTTAATAATACGGTATTGGTTTACTTGTTGAAATACAAGAATTTGTACTGAAACAAACACCTGCACTCATATGTGTAAGAATGCCATGCAAAAGGTATATGCTATAGCCAAAGTATCGTGTTGGTGTATTTTCCAGTCCATAGCACTATCAAACGTGATATAGAAGGATTCTGCAATCTATGCAAAACGTGTTGCTTTTTTAGCTGCATTATTTTTGCATATATAGATATCGCTAAAAAAGCAAGATCTAAATGAATCTCAGAGCCAACCGGAGATGCTTAATGAAATATGTCATTTAACAAATTGAGACTGTAGAAGTAATTCGATCCAGTGTTTCGCCCCACGCGTGTGTGGGAGATTAGAAAACTCAAGATACAGAAAAAAAAACACAATATAATTCCTTTTGCAGAAATCAATTATAGTTATTCTAGATCAGTGTTGTTGTTTTTTTGTGAATTTTTCAAAGTGGCGAAAAAATTACTTTTCTTGTATTTTAACGTTTATTATTAATTTATTAGTTGTTAGGCAATCCATCAATGAGTAGACTTTTTTTAAAAAGTATTTTATAAAAATATATACTTGTTTGTTAATATGAACAGGAAATAATGAAATGGTCCCATTCATAGACATATATTATGTATATATTATATATAGGCCTATATATATATAATATGTCTATGGGTCCTATTCATAGCCATAAATAAATACAGACTGGCCGAAGGAAGTAACTTCATGTAACTTGAAAACATGTTTATCTATTGTGTTCGGATTTCCGAATTGTGAAAAATTGCATGATCTTCATTCTTAGAGATTAAACAAAGCAATAGTGAAAATATTTGAATACTTATATAGGTTATGGCTGAAATAGATATGAATACTTAACTCTCTTTTTATTACCAATATCTTTAAAATTGCTCAACCACTAACTCCATTTATATCCATTTAATTTTGGTTTGGGGGGAGGGGAGAATGGAGCGGTTCTGTAAACGGGAAACAATGGTAATGTTATCCCCCCTCTAACTAATTGAACTGGCATGATGTCACCACACAAACAGCTAATAATCTCACCTGTGGTTCTATTGAGTCCATTCTCAGTTACCGGCTCTGTTGACGTGGAGATGTTCCCTGGGTCGGAGACACTGTGACGTAATTTCTGCCAAACTGTATCTCTAAATACATCGTGACAGTCTGCTTCTGAGAAGTGTGGCGTTACCAAGCAGACGATATGAAGCGCTGTAGCGAAGACAATTAACATGGCTCCCACCAAATTGAACAGTTTTCCTTGTTCCATTTTTAAACAAAAGTTTGAAGGAGCGATGTGTTAGACCCCTATCTTTGAAAGTCAAGGCTGTGAGAACTTGATTACCATCCAATGTTTTGTTAGGTCTAATATTAATTCGAGCAATACTTCTAATTTAAATATATAGATCTAGACTTCTAGATCGACTTGTAACACACACACACACACAAATCTATGCAACGTATGCCCCCTAACACTAAATCATTAAACCCAGGCTTTGCTTCTGTCCAAAAAAAAACAAAAAAAACAGAGGTGTCCTACATAATTTATAGATCTAGGTTGTAATCACTAGTTTTCCAATATAGGCCTACACAGCAATGTATAAACTAATGTGACTTGCGATTTAGATCTATTAGGCCCTTCCAAATACTGATCTAGATGTGTCTAGACTATTATTAGACCCACATTTAAAACACAAGTACTAAATAGGCTACTGATAATGCTGGCCTCAAATATAATGGAAGAATTCGATGTGCACCTTTAAAAAATATCCCCATGAAATTGAACAAAAGCTCACAGGCCTAACCTAGAGAGTGAGGAAACTCCACGAACTAAAAAAAAAAAGATCTAGAATCTACTCCCACAAGACAAACAGCTAACGGTGGCAGGAATTTAGGTGGGTATCGCTCCACCTAGCTTGATGCAAAGGGCAGAGGTTATCTAGGAGGCGGTACGAATCTCCCTGCGTTGTGCCTACCAGATGGTAGCTAAAAAGATCTTGTAGCTAGGCTTGTGTAAGAGCCTATGTGCCAACATTTTTCTTTTCTTTTTTTTTTAAATTCTAAACGATTTGTCTGGCTATGCAAAGACGCGTTGCAATCTGAGTAGGCTAATTTATTTTAACAAATAAGGCTGTAATTTATTTACAACAGATAAAAAATGTGATATTTATTTATAAATACTAAACTTAAAATCACATAAATTGTTGTAGGCCTATTCGTCATGTGTATTGGAAACATGGTATGTGTCGCTAAAAAAATCAGTTCATGATCTATTACAGCAAACATGATTAGGTCAACACTGACTATCATGTCTTCAAAACTATGGACCAATAATTCAAGACGTGAGTCTTGATGAAAAGGAAGAAAGTTAACACTGAATAAATAATTATTATAATAACAAATGTCTCATAGACTACATGGAATTTGTGATTCTCCTTTGACAAATTTCGATTCTGGCAGAGCTACCAGAGCAGTAGAGGACTTGAAATGTTTAAAATAATAATTTACTAAAATTAGATTAATGAAAAGACAACTCTCATATACGAGGTGTAAGAACGTTAGGGTCGCGTGACCGAGTTATTTCTTACTAAATCATGATCTCAATTCTCTTACTGCCTGGATCAGGAGTCGTAAAAAGGAAACACAATTCTTTGTAGTTCCTTTAACGGGGTCAACTGGGGAATTCTTTGATGTGCGATGTCTACGCCAGTACTGCTGCCCTTTACACATTTAGAACTTTAGAAATATCAGTATGTAGATTAGAAAAGTGTGTTAAATTGCGGATTTTTTTCTCGACTACAAATAAATATTTGAGGTTTCTAGCTCTTTCTCTCCTAACTGACGATACCAGCGTTGATTCCAAAAGAATGTGGTAAATAATTACGGAGAGAAAGAGCTAGATCTATAGACTCTATAATATATTTTGAAATGAGTGGTTCGTAATTCTAATTGTTATCTCTGCAAAATTCGTTTGTTTCTTAGTCTACTAGAAAACGTTAAGGATTTTTTGTTTTGTGGGTCATGTCTGTTCGTTTTCAACTAGAATAAGAGTGCACAGACCTACATATATTTAGACTTGAAACTTAACCAATTTTCGTGTCTAGCGTTTCTAGAACTGGGAGTGGTGTGTGTGTGTGTGTGTGACGTCAAGGTAAAAGAAGAGGGGGGGGGGGGGATGCCAGTAAATTATTATTTTTTTTACAAAAGCAGGGGAATTTTAAATTTTGTTATTTTAATTTTATTTGTTTGAATAGTATTAACCAATTAAAATAAAATATTATTAGATTTTGTCATATTGAAGACGTTGCTTATAATCTAATAAGAACCTTTTAAATTGTATACCGCGATACCTTTTTTTCTCGAGAGGCGTCTGCAACAATAACGACTCAAAACTCTTTGAAGACATTTCCAAACGTCTCCTCTAGCAGGATTCTTTGCAAACTTCTTGTCTGACTGTTGTGTATATCTCTATATGGTGACAACTTTTAGACAACAAGAAAAGATCAGCGACATGTTTTATTTAACAGAAAGATAAACTTACGATGATCACACATATCACAGACGTACATGCATCATCATCACAATTGGCCTCCTTCAGTCGTGAAACGACTATGGTTCATCTCGAACACTTTGTCATGTGGCTGTGGAGCATAATAAAATTGGTCAGTGCGGCCTTCTTATTTAGTAGAGATTTATTATCATTTCAATGTCGGTCCGCCCCGAGAAAAAAGGCATCGTAATTACCAGGAGAAAGAATTTCTGATGCTCAGAACGCCCCCCCCCCCCCCCCAAAAAAAACATTATCTAGTACGAATTTTTTTCTAGTACGGTATACTATAAACTTAAAATATCACAGCCCTTTCGGTCCTGACCCAACTGTACAGTGCTCTTCCAGGACAAGGGTTGCGCTAACGAAATTTTATTTGGGGTAGGGGAGGGGGCGCCAATGATAACAATTTAACAAACACTGCTGTAAGGGAACTCGCCGTGACCTTCATGAAATTCAGACGACCTTGGTGGAGTAGGACAATAGCAAGCTCAAGACTATCGGAAACAAAAGATCAAATAGTATCAAATTGATCCGAGAAATGGTGAGAGAAATAACATACAAATATTGTACCAGAGTGAGTTAGTTTATAAAAGCTTTGTAAAAAATAAAGAGTGCGTTACTTTTCCGCCTTCCTAACACCATCAGGAGCCCTAGTCAGAAGAACATGTTTTTATCTAAAATATTTTTAATGCATATTATTGATAAAAAATGTCATTAGCTCCTACAGGATAAAGAAAATCAGTCTAATTGTAAATGCATCAATGCAAAATTATTTTTTTTTAACAGTTGCTCTGATCATTTTCTTTCATGTAAACCTCTCTAGTGTTCCCTTTCTTTGAGTTGTCTGAGCTTTCCTATTCACTGTATACTTGTGGGGATGGTTAAGCGGTTGCTAGGTTGGTTGCTAGGTTGTGTATCGGTTCTTTTTTTTTTTTTCTTACATGTATTTGTTAAAAATTTGAAGAAGTGGAATGTGCTTATATGTCTAGTTCTTCAATGATTAAAAGTTTATCATTTCAAGTAGTTTATGTTTTGAAAGAGTAATATGCAAATTGAAATAAACTTGTATAACAAACATGTAAACTGAAGAAAAAAAAAAGGGGGGGGGGGAGGAAGAATATGCACAGCTCTATAAAACAATGATTTAAGAAAAAGAATTAAGTCCACATCTGGATTGTTTGACATCAAATTTAATTTGCTTATCTCCCTTTTAAAATTTAAAAAAAAAAAATTAAAAAAATAAAAATAAAAAGAACATCTAATATTATCAAATAATTTGAATTTACTTCACAATGTTACCCCATCCAAGCAACCAGTAGCAACATTGGTGACAATTAGAATTTACATTTCAAGCTAATAATAGTCAGATAAAAAAAAAAAAATACACATCAATTGAATCATAGTACATTCATAGTAAACAAAACAAAACAAAAAAACTCAAACCACAGAAGTAGGTTATAGTTTCTGATTTCTGTCACAACCAACAATGATATAGCCCAATTAATTTTTTTTTTTTTTTTTTTTTTTTTTTTTAAATATAAATACAATCAATAATAAAAGAAAAAGACACCCTCCACCCCCAATCCTAAATTGTTGATGTCCATCAGAGTTGACATGCAAATCGTCAGGCAAATTAGTGAGAAATGGATGTTACTAATTTACTGAAGGAGATCTTAAACACAGAACTAAGTAATGGCTACCAAGATACAGATGTTACAACTTAATGCTAATGCGACCGGGCTGTTCTATCTGTAACTTGAAATAAACCACTTTTTATTATTTTTTTTTTTACTAGGCATGGGGCTATACACTATTAAGTTACTTTTCACAGGGCCATTTCATTTCAATGCAACTCAATAGTTTTATCAAATGAAAACATTCTACAGCATTATTTACATGCAAATAAAATTTAAAATGATAAAAAAAAAAAGAAGGAAAAAATGTAACTGCTGAATATCATCAACTTATTGGAAAAAAAACAACAAACAAACACTCAACCAGAACAAATAAATATGACCAACTTATGTACAAGTACTGAGAGAAGAGAAAAGAATTGAACAATTGGATAATAGACGCAAAGCCTGGCATCAAGCCTTAGGGTGCAGGTTGCTTGAAGGGGGTAATATTATGAAGAAGAGACACTTTTTTTTTTGGCCCGAAAACCACTATTATAAAATTTTGAAGCAGGATGAAGAAAATCTCTTAGTCCAAACAAAGAATTTATAATGGAACATTGTTTTGTTATTTCAAAGTTTTGCTTCAGTAATATCAGCAGAGCCAATACTCTGCGTGATGGTTGCTGATTTTTTTTCTTTTTTTTTAAATTAGTAATATTTGTAAAAAAAAAAAAAAAAATATATAATAAAATAAAAATTGAAAAAATAGTTTTACTTATGAGTTTGTTTGTTTTTCTCAAAAATATTCATAAATATCACTATCCAGTATTAAACAGTCACATGTTTTGCTTAGAGATTTAACAAGAACTGAATTACATTCATCCAATGACTCCCGAGCACAGCTAGTTCATGCAGAGAGGGCAAGGGAAGGGAACAATAGTATGGACACAAGTAGGCACAATAATGAGTCACAGTCTAGTCTCTCTGATACAGTTCAATCAACTCCTACCCTTACTTTACACCAAAGGATTCAATGACAAATGAATAAAAACAGAAATGTGCGTTAACCATGATTAAATACATGAAAAACCCTTGACTATTCATTAGTTACATGGCAGTAGAACAAAACCTTCACTATTTTTTATTTTTTTTTACATAGCAATCAAAATCATTTGGTGTTTTTTGTTATCTATCATACAACCAATACCAAAGAAACCAATAAAAAAAAAAGTGGAAGATGAAAGGTTTTGGAAACAGCAGGTCAAAATGACTGTCCACACATATCAAATAAGAAAATTTGCAGACTGAATAAAGAAATGATGTCACCCTGGCTTGAAACATTATGCGATTGACTCAAATGTACAATAGGGATGGAAGATATATGCATGAGTGATTAACTGCATGGACCACAACACATCCAACAGAGGTCACATACTCTCTTCTGAAATGTTTGAAAGTATCTTTCAAGTCAATCATTTTGAAACACCTTTTGAACAGAACAATATCACAAATCATTTCAAGTTCATGAAACAAAGATAGTCATAAGTTTGAAAGAAAATTGAAAATAATGAAGGTGAAAAAAAAAAAAAACATGGGAGGGGGGGGGGGGGGGGGGACACATTTTGTTGTCTTTCTTAATCTTGCCATAAGTACAAACAAAATAAATCAAAACTAGTCTGTGAAAAGTACCATTATGATTAGATTAGCAGAAACCTTGAGTATAACATTTTTTCTTGCTACTATTCTTGTTTTCAAATAAGATTTAATGGTAAAGATTTTTTTAAAAAAATGTAGTATAAGGTGAATTCACAGAACAGACTTAAAATATTAGGATGAAAATCTTACAGAGTGAATCACAATAGTTCAGTTTGGCTCTCTTTCTCCAGATTGTGACAAGACTGACTTGGCAATAACAACATGGAATTATTGGCCACACTATCCCAAGGAAGAGAACCAGTTGAAAGCTAAACTAGCACACACACCAAATTGTATCCTGATGGTCTCATCAGTTCCTGACAAGAATAAAACAACGGAACTGATATTCATATACACTGTTTGAGGACAAAATAACAAATGCATAGTATGTATGATCCACTAAAAACTTGACTAAGATAACCTGACTCTGTTAACTTACCAAGACTGAGAACCAAACAGTAACAAGAAATAAGTAACAAAATTATGACTGAATTAGAAAAAAATGTTTCAACAGCCTCCTTTATTTTCCCCCAAGAAAATTTGGCATTCTAGACTTGTAAATATATATATATGATAACGGATACAGAAGTTCTTTTAAAATGTTTTTATTTTGTGTGTGTGACAGAATATTATCTACTGAAAAAAACAAAACATTCACCCCTATGTTACATGAATGTATACATCCACATAGATAAATATATAAATATATAGAGATATATATACAAATATGTATAAATTTACTGAGCAATAACAAGGATACAAATGTGCATGTATTAACATCAGCCCACAAGGAAAAAAAAAAATCTCTTCCACTGAACATTTATTATAAATGCTGAAGAAGTTCGACACAGAGAGAGCCAATAGTTGATCACCACCAGACAACTCACACACTTTCCACACTTGCAGTCTGAGTATATTTAAAACAAAGCCCTAACAATGTAGACAGAAATTATGCCTTCTTTTTTTTTCTTCTTTATCTACTACTTCACATCAAATATTTCAGTAGTAACAAATGTACTCACTTATATCAATAGTATTGATCTTTCTTTTTTTTTTTCTCTATGAATTACTATCCCAATAGGATATTAAATAGTCAGCATGATAATTTTTAGTAATCTTAACTATATAAAAATATTTTGATTTTAAAATTGAACCACAAAATTTTTTTTTAACCTGATCACAAGCATGCATGCAAGCTTAAGTTAAACAAAAAATGTTTCAGGGTGATACCCTTGTAGCACCGGGGGAGAAATGGCAGCTAAGACTGCCAACACTTCTTCAATGTTTATAGACTTTGGTTACAGCTACCTTCTTCTCTAGTGTCCCACCTCTGAGCCCCACCCCCCCAACCCTGTTGGAATGATTGGTCAAATTTCTAATGCAAATGTATTCAATTGAAAATAATTCATATTCTGATTTCAAGCTAAGTTTCTAAACATTTGAAAGGAATGAGGATATAAAGAGTCTGATTAAAAGAACACTTGCAAACAAAACAAAAGGGACGTGGAAGTTATCAAGCATTTATCTCACAGCTTTCTTATAAGAAAAAAAAAAAAAAAAAGCATTCGGTGAAATGCTTTCAAAAAGGTTTATTTTGCTATCAATGACTGTGTAGATCAAACAGCTTGAGAATAACAAAAATTTAGAACTAAAACAAAAAACTCTACAGGCACATTTTTTGTTCCTACCAATGAAAAAAGCAGACAAAATGAGAAAGTAAGCAAAATCCAGGGCTAATGCATGTGTCACTTTAATATTCACCTGGAAATAGAAGGGAAAGAAAACAAAATGGCCAAAAGAATTATGAAACATCTCTAGTATTTGGAAAACAAAAAAAAAAACAAATTAAAACTAATGCAATGAACAGAACAATTGACATAGAAAACTTAGGAAGAAAGATATTTAGAGCTATGTACACATAAATAACATTCACAAGAGATTTGTTTCAATTGCTCACAGAAACAAAGAACTCAAATGACCATGAATATACAAAGGCTTATCATAGGGGACAGAAAGAGGCTCTGGTAATTCAATACTTGATCAATACTTTAATGTTGCCCACTTCATTTTGACTCGCACAAAATACAATGCATTGCAATCCAAACTTTTTTTTTTGGTATTTGTTTTTTATTTGTTTTTTTTTATTTACATTATGAAATTTTTAGTTTTTCTAAAACAACTGTGAATCTTGCAGTGATGAAAATCATAAAAAAAAAAAAACTTTCAATAAAACAAAACAATTCTCCAATATATACAGCCATATAAATATTTATTTAGGCAAACAACTGCCCAGTCATAATGGAAGCATTTTTTTAAAAGAAGTTTATGTATCAGACATGATTATTTGAAGCTGGCCAGAACTAATGACAGGCCATAGGATGCAAATCACTTAAAAGCCACAGAGAAACATACAGAACAAACAACCTAACTTTTAAAGGGTCTATTTTTTGCAAGACTAAACCATTCTGCTCAAAAATCTTAACTAGCTTGTACTATAATTTACAAGTTACATGCTTTTTTTTTTTTGGTCTTGAAATTACGTATGCCTATTAACAAAATTATAAATTAACCTTCATAATAAGGGAGCTCTCAGGGTGAGTTTCTACTAAATGCTTCAATGAAAAAACATAACAAGAAAGATTTCTATGAACTAGCACAGGAAATTGTAGAAGTAAAAAACTTAATTAGTTGGATGCTTTATAACTAGCATATCTGGTTATTTTTCATAGATCCAGCATTCATAAAACTTACACCAACAACAAGTCAGAAAGTGATAACATCAGTTCGACATCAGAATTGTGACACAGTATTCAAACTGGTCAATGCATCTATTTCAACAAGCACAAAACAAACCACATCTACAACGCATTGTGTGTGTAGCAATCATATCTGACAACACCAAGTGTCAAAACTTTATATATTTTCCACAAATAGAGAAATTAAGATCACTAGAAATACTTTCCTCCTGAATGATTGAAAAAGCAACAACTGAAAAAACAAAAGAACATTAAGTCGAAGTTTTCTAGTGTAACCACTATGAATAGATGCCAAGTTCACTTAGAAATAGTATTCATTTGATAAAACATACTCTAGCAGAATGATTTGTTTACGACTATCACTGGCCTAGATACAAATGTTTGTACAAACATATATATATATCTTTAAGTTGAAAGATTTTTTTTTTTAAGTAGGTCATTTGGGATCATACAAAATGCCTAACCAAAATACTTGTATACCATTCGGTTCTATTCTTCTCTATTCCAGCAATCACTGATCAAATTTAGTCCAGAACTATAGAGTGAAATAGGTGTAATGTTTTATTTTTGTAAAACTGGAAAGTGATCACAAACAAATTATCACCACAACATCAACACGGAAGCAGTACAGGGTCTTAATTGAAACATTTTACAAGACCTCTGCCAGAATCGGGAGAGAGCTCTGATCACATGTCCATGCCAAAATTATGTCGAAGGCCTGGTCACATGAAGTAAGCCAGAATTATGTAAGCTCTGGCTAAATGGCCTCTGCCAGAATTGTGTTGGATGATCAAATTACTTCTTCATGGAACATTAAATTATATACCGGCATGTATACCAGTAACTGTACATTTTATTTCTATACACATAACCATCACCTGCATATATTGTTTCATGTTCTGATTACAAATATGAAATAGACATTCAAAATAATTTGCAAAATTTTAAAATAAACAAAAATGTCACTGCAACAACCATTCTAAAATAAAATATTGTATGTGCAACAAAGTTTTGAGAAAAAATTTATACTTAAAAATGAACAGATAAAAAAAAAATCCATGTTTGAAACACTATTTTTAGAACCAAATGTATCCAAATCTTTGTAAAAGGAAAACTAGTAATCCATTGATTTCTGAAGTGTCACATTTATATTCCAAAACTAGTAAACCATGGTAAGAATTTGTGTCACAGTATTCCAAATTGTACAGCCATCCTCATCTTCACCATTTTTCTCAGCATGTAACAAATTCTTTAGCTGAAGAAACAGACTCGGAGCTAACCATTATACACATGGATACACTCTAAAACGATGGGGAAAGTTAACACAAATGTAATACACTTTTGGAAAAATAATTTTTTGTTTACAGGCGTTCATACAGTTGTTGAGGGAACAAATTCGTCACTGAAGTTTGGCTTTATTTTCGGACTAGATTTATTTTGGGCGAGGCTCAGGTTTCCTTCTGTCAAATTTATTCCCTGATCTATTTTCCTTGGAGTTCCTTCGGGGGCCATTGCTAGAAGGCCGAGAGGATTGAGTAGGTCCTTCTGCCCGGACAACATTGTCTTTAGAAGAGCCCCTTTGGGCTGAGCGAGGCACAGGCTGAGCACCAGCCTGGTGATTTCCCTGCTCACGGAAGGCATTGGATGTCTGACTGTTGGATCTTACTAGGTTGGACGAGGCAGTGCTGCTATTATTCTGGGCACCAGCAGCTGATGGGCCATTAAGTGTTCCTGAGTTTGTGATTGGGTTGGATGAGACACTAATAGAGGCATCACTGGGAGTAATTCCATTGGCCGCATCACGATTTTTCTGGGCCACCATCTGAGCATAAGAAGGTTTTGGAGCTTCCTGCTGAAAAAGAGATTAGAAAATTTGATACAGATAGAAAAATACTATAACCTTAAAATCTATTGGTTACATGCAACATAATCTAAACTGCTGGATTTATAATAGCTTAAAATCTATTGGTTATGCTACATAGGTCTGAACTGCTGGATTTATAATTGCTTAAAATCAAACAGATTTTAAAAAGTTACTATTAAATGCCTGAAAGTTAGTTAACTGCAATATGTTACAATGAAAAAACCTACAGTCATAGGTGAAGTTAAAGCAGGTGAAATCAAAACTTGCTGCGGTGGTGCTGGCT